TATTGGCCCACTCGGACCTGGTTCCCCAAACTAATTCTCCTCGCGACAGCCCCTCCCTGACAGATTCCTCTGAGGAAGAATCTACTGACTCAAAGACGGGGCACCCTGTGGCACCCGCGTCCAGACCTCTGGAAACTTCATGTCTGGTCCCTGGACGGGACGCGGAGGTTCTAGGTGACCTACCCCAAGAGGTAGTTGACACTATCACTTCGGCGAGAGCACCGTCTACAAGATACGCTTACGCCTTGAAGTGGAACCTGTTCATCGAGTGGTGTTCTTCTCACCAAGAAGACCCCCGGAGATGCCCGATCAGGATTGTGCTTTCCTTTTCGCAGCAAGGGCTGGAGCGAAGGCTGTCTCCCTCCACCCTTAAAGTTTATGTCGCTGCGATTGCTGCTAACCATGACCCCGTGGAATAGAAGTCGGTAGGTAAGCATTACCTGGTCATCAGGTTCCTTAGGGGGGCAAGAAGGTTAAAGATGTTCATATGTGTATTTGCTTCCTAAACCTCCTTCGGGAAGGATGGGGCTTCCGCAGCGTCCCTGTTCCAAGTGGAACGGCTCGTTCCCTGAAGGAGGGAACGGAGACGTCACGTCCCGTCGCCACGGCTACTGTACTACCGCTGAGCGGCCGGGTCACCGGCTCGGCTCCTCAGCGAAAACCTCGTATACATTGCACCTGCTGCCTTTTTATGCTCACGCTGTGATCAGCGGCAGATGGATGCAATAATTGCATGCCAATGTGCATTGGCTCGTTTAGTTACACTAAATTTTAAGATTCGTCTGTCACGACGTGATGTCTCCGTTCCCTCCTTCAGGGAACGAGGGTTACATACGTAACCGAGACGTTACACTAGAAGTATGACACAGTGTATAAGTAGAATACTCTGTGTGTGTATACTTTAAGTGTGAAGATCTCACCTCCTTCATAATCTTGATAGCCTCCACTCTGTGCTGCGGCGGTGGGTAGAGCAGAATACGGTGGTACAGGGACTGCAAAACAGGCTTCATGGACTCGACACAGCCCACCAGACGGACTAAATCTGCTGCCACATAGCAGATGGTGCGAACGACTGGCCCAATCATGACAGGAGCACTCGATGAGCAGCCAGAACCCCGGCCCTGATCCAAGACTGCTGTTCCTGGTGCCAGGTCTGAGTCCTGGGATTGCCCACCATGGGCTGAGGTGATGGTTTTATCACTTGCTGGGTTTCCCATAATCACCACCAGAGTCGGACATAATTGCTTCCTGTGTGTAGACAGGAAGCAGTTCATAATAATACCTGTGCTTAAGTTGAGCTCCTTTTAACTACATAAAGTGCTGACACCCTTAATTTAAACAATGTGCAAAGAGAACAAAGGCATGTCTCACCAGATGAGGTCTGTGAAATTACGATGCAGGTGCATTGTGGGAGGACAGCTGCTCAGCATAGACAGAACACACTCCAGGTACAACAGCTGCAGCAGCTGGTTTTCACTAAAGAAAACACACATTTCTCTCATCACACTAATAAAACACTTTATTGAAAGTCTTTCTGCTCTCTAGATATTACGTAAACCGTAACGTAAGCTTTATATAACACAAAAACAGATTAGAAAAGTGTTATCACACCTCTCCTCAACAATACACATGATTTAGGTATCATTCATACGCTCTGCCAGAAGTTTAACACTTAGGGGTGTCCAGTCCTGCTCCCGGAGGGCCACTTTCCCTAAGTTTAGCTTCAACCTGCTGCAGAATACCTCCCTGGAAGTTTCTAGTGATCCTGAAGACCAGGTTCAGCTGTGTTTAACTGCAAGACAGTGGCAGGACTGGACACCCCTGATTTAGGGTTACAATTTTGCTATTTCACTATAAGTAGGAGCTACAGTAAAAGTGGTGCTCATCTGAGCAAACGCTACTAATAATAGTAATCACTTATACTAGTCTAATAATAACGACCTAACAACAAGTTGATGACATGTAACGCTTACTTTGAGACAGACTCCAGTTTGTCACAGAAAACAGTGAGCACCATAACAACATCTCTATACAGTGCATCAGTAGTGGGAGACAGATCTGAAAGCACATGAAGATATAACTTATAATAAATGCCACATAATATCTGTAAGTAAGGTATTAAATGATACAACTGGTCAATTCAGTGTACCTTTGCGCTGGTGCACAGGTATGCAACGTTCCTCACCATCAACACCCTGTAAAAATCCAACCAGACATTGTTTATTATATATTAGCTATTATATATTTGACTATAGAATGCCACCTTTGACCAATCACATTAGCATATTTCAGAGAGCTCTGTAATAAGACATCATAGACATGTGCTTGTATTTAATAAAGCTTTGTGAAACAGTTGTGAAACGTGACTCACTGTGTTTTCTTGTCTATGGCGTAACTGTAGGGTGAGGTCTCCAAGAATCTGACTGAGGGTGGCCCTGACCGCTGTGTTGATACTGCGATGATGACAACTTGAAATGTATGTCTCAATACACACCTGGAAACACACAGATATGCAACAGAATTTTAGAGCAAATGCTGAAATCCTTGACCATGCTGTGTAAACTGCATAAAAAAAATGAAGTGATTTATAACAAAAAAAAAGGCCAACTTTAGACCAATTGGGCATCCATGGAATGACTTTTTGCATTGCCTGGATATGGAATGCTAATAGAAATTGACCTAAACAGACTCACAGCTGTAACTGCTGGCAAAGATCAGTCCTAAAAACAAGGGCACAGTAATCTTAAATTTAAGAAATTCTAAAATGTTGCAATATACACAACAGTAGGGTTCACTGTCTCTATAGAGAAACCTTCAGCAAAATTCCCAGTGAAAAACTGCACTACCCATAATGCTGAAGAATGATCTGCCAATCAAAGAACTCGCTGTCACCATAGAAACCAAGAGCTCACGGACACAAGCGCACTGAAATAGTTGGCCATCACTCTTGTGCTCAGTAAATAATGATTCTATACCTCTTAACATTTAAATGTAATAAAAAAAGAAAGAAAGGCAACTGAAGTTCTTTGATGAAAACATAAAACATTTTTGTTTGAATGTCATAGATTTGACTGATTGCTAGAATTTTTTTTTTTTTTTAATCCTGCTTTAGCATAAGTTTAGGTGAATACGTCTCTGTTAGGCCTGTCACTAATCAACAAAATGACTCTGAAATGGAATCTTCCATCAAGCAAACAAAATGACTGATTAGAGAGCATCTGCCATGCTTGGTCATGGAAAAGGGATCTTAGACGTGGCATCTATGACCACTCTTACCTGTAACCATAGCAACGAATGACACACTGTTGGAGGCTAGGAAAATGAGTTTCATGATGGAAGTGAGATGTCGGGGAGAGTGGTTCACTGTGTGCTATTGTGCCATTCTAGGTACTTCCACACCTAACAAAGACATTTTGCCTTGTACAAAATCAAAAGAGTCTTGTGAAATGTAACTCTTGTGATTTAAAAAACCTGCTTTGATATTCTGTAAATATGAGGCTAAATACTTAATGGGTCGGCCAAATGACTGGACATGCTCTTTCAGAAAATGCTTGCTTTAGCCTATTTTTTTTTTATTTATGGCCTGCTCCCTGGGGCTCCTTGGAACAGTCCTGTGTGAAAATAAGAGAAGTCTGGCACAACCAGACCCATTTACACATGATGATGTGCTTTTATGAGCTGTTTATGGCCAACCAGGGGAAAGATAACAAAGTTAGAAAGACAAAAGAGGGAAAGGAACCTGATATACACAGACACAGTGGGATCTGATCACTTGGCTTGCAACGGTTCATCTTTGTGCAAACACAATTTGCATAATGAATAAAATCTGCATGGTGCATAAGATTTCCCATAAAATGACAATCCCTCAGTAGAAAAAATAAATACAGCCATAATACCCATACAGCCCCCCCTCATGGAATTATGAGGTTGAAAAGCTGACAAAAAGATGCAAACCACCCAGGCATTGTTTTCTTTTTATACACAATCAACTCATGGTCTGGTGTTTTCACAGTTACTGCCGGTCCATGCAAAGTCTCTGCAGTGCTGTCAGTTTGAGCTGCTTATAATGTTCATTTGAAAACACAACATACATTAAAGGGGCCATATGATGCTGCTAAAAAGAACATTATTTTGTGTATTCTCAAATTTGTAATAAGAATAATTTCTATGAATATTAGTATTGTAATTTTGCTCTTGTTCTGTAAAATAAAATTATTACTGATATTATTATTTAATTACTGTTACGCTTGATTTTCATTTCACAGTATAATAGCATTAATACTACAGTGATATATTGTTTAATTTTTATAATTTAATAAAATAAAAATATGTTAAAAGGGACATAACACACATAGTTTCTGCCAATCTCATGTTAATCTTGAGAACCTATAGAGTAGTATTGCATCCTTCATATATCTGAAGAGTCTTTAGTTTGATCAGATTTATAAAAGAAAGATACAGCTACCACTTCTCTCTGAATCGAGCTCCAAGAGGCGTGCCGTGGGCGGAGCTAAAGAGTCACGAGCACACACACACAGCTCTTGCGTAGCGATCGTCATCTTTCCCTCACAACCAAAAACACCCTTCTTTGGTGACTGTTGATTTCATTATCTAGAAACAAAATGACAAATCCTGTCGCTGCTGACGACTTCTGTAACCCGAATGAAGCACGTTTATGGGCTGCTCTCGCTCTGGTTGCTGTGCGCGCGCTCTTCCTGGAGAAGTGCCCATACAAGGAATCCCGCCCTTTATGACGTCATACAGGGCCATACTCGAAAAAAACTTTCAGAGACTTATACAAACCCTGAAGGAGTGCATTTGGCACAGAAATACTCCGTCATACGTCCAACTCGTTTTTGAAACTTTGGCCATGTTTAGCATGAGAATCCAACTCTTTAACAGTTTAAATAAGCCAGAATGCATGAAATAGCATTAGACCTCCCCTTTAATAATGATAATAATTAATATTGTACAGTCATACTGAATGGGTTTCATAAAAAACAACAGTGTGAATGTGGCCTGAGACAACGTAAGTATACAGTAAACTATATTACCTCAGTATAACACAGTCTACGGTGTGTCTCCCCCTAAAATTGACAGTAAATCCACATTTTAATGCTGATATTTACAAAACTTCTTCCCAGGGGTCAGCAAAAAGGGTGATACAATAAATACTATCATGATGCATAAATACCTTTCTTAAATTCAATTAAAGTAATTATAATTTTTTTTTTATTCTATCAAAATGCTGTGATACTGACCACCGCATCGTCCTCATTAAAGCACAGCATTACAGCGCAGCAGTCTTTAAGAATAGATGCCCTTCGACAAGGACTTTAATGAGAGGGTTGCCAGATTCACTTTGGATAAGCAGTTTTCCATCAGTCATCTCATTCTGTCAGTTAAACGTCAATAAATCATGTCCTACCTCAGCAATTCTCAAGATGTTGTGCCCGTTGATCTCAAAGTTAGAGGAGTAGGTGACGCAAAGCAGGACCTACAACACAAAGAACTACAAAACATTAGCCATTTGATATAACAGCACCGCAACTTAAAATGATCGAACACTTCTGTATTAGAAACAGGAGATCAGGAGCACATCGTGTCTAGGGACGCATATGTGCCAGTGATGCTGCAAATCCATCTTATTACACCACGGGTGCAGACACTGAATTGATTAGGCCTGCTAAGATGCAGCACGTTGTTTTTGACACTGACTATTCCAGCTCAATGCTGGCCAAACATTTTCTCAGACATTTGTGATCTCACACACTGATGGTGAAGGTTCAGACGAGCACGGACCTTCATGACCTCCACCTGCAGGTCTTCATGTAGGGTGTGCGTCACCCTGATGGCCTCCAGGATCTGACTCAACAGCTGCTTCTCTGGAGCCTCGGTTTCCACAGCAACAAAGCAATCCTCACAAAGGATCTTCTGCCAATGCCACAGGACAAAACACATGCAAATTGCTGAGAAGAGTATGAACTAACATCACAAAATAAAAAAATAATAAAAAATTGAATATTGGTCACCTTGCCATGTTTGTAAGCTGAATAATTAATATTTATTTATTTATTTATAATATTAAATATTACATTTATTTTTACAATCTCTGAAAAAATGTGAGTAGTTGCATGCAGAACTTGACACCACAATACTTGGCATTCACTGAAAAAAGATCATAATTTGAATTGTAAAAGACTAAAAATGCTATGAATGAGGTAAAAACCTGTTAAGTGGTTAACGGTTAACCTGTTAAGTTTCCTAATACAGTGAAAACTGTAATATATATATAACAGGACATTTAATGTACTTCTACAGTAAAATACTGTTAAATTTACCGTTTTTGGAAGTAAAAAAGAACAAGTCATCTTATAATTTACAGTGAAAAACCTAAATTGACACTCCCATAATTCTCTGTGACAGCTCACATTTTTCATTGTTTCACACTATTTTATTGAATTTTTTATTGTTTCTCAGTTATGTACATTAGAGTTTCATGTTGCATTCTGTTGTTAAATTATTGTTTATTGCATTATTTTAGTGTCATGTGTATTACCATAATGGTATTTTTGTATGACACATGCACCTTTTATATATATATATATATATATATATATATATATATATATATATATATACACAGTGGCATACAAAAGTTTGGGAACCTCTTGCAGAATCTGATGCTCCAGAAGGAAACACGATGCATTAAGAGCCGGGGGATGAAAACTTTTGAACAGAATGAAGATGTCCAAATTTTTCTTATTTTGTTGAAATATCATTTTTTTCCATTTAGTACTGCCCTTCAGAAGCAACAGAAGATACTTGCATGTTTCCCGGAAAGACAAATTAAGTTTAATTTACCTTGATCTTCAAATTCAAAAAGTTTTCACCCACCGGCTCTTAATGCATCGGGTTTCCTTCTGGAGCATCAGTCAATGTTTGAACCTGGAGGATTTTTCTGAAGAACAGTGCTCAGTTTAAAGCTGCATTCCGTAACTATTTTTGGTTAAAAATGATCCAAAATCAATATTTGAGCAAGTACATAACCAGCCAGTGTTCGAAACTATCACCTTACTTTAGCCCGATTCACAACAGTTAGCTTATAATAATGTTTTCTAATTTGAGTGGTACGAGTAGGTTTTCCCAGGAAATTCGAGCATGCTGCTGCGTCATTACGTCACGTCTGTAAACATAAAGAAGTTGTCCCGGCTAGTCGGCTATCGCATGTGAGGATCCTGCAGGTGGCCGATCGTTTATAGCCTTTTCTCACAGGAGCTGGAATAACTAAATGTCAAAAAATATTTTTGATGGCGGATTGTAATCCAGAAAGGATTATTTGAAACACATGTGAATGAAATTAAATTATATTCCAGTTTTAAATGTGCTTCTGATTACAGATAGCCTACACAATATTTGTATTTTAAAGACAACCAGTTCGAAGGGAGCATAGTTTGCTTTTTGGGTTAAAAGAATTTCTTTGGTATGAAATTCGAATGGTATGACAATTACAGATTACACTGTACACCAATTTAAATCTACACGCTAATACACACTATACTCATAGTCACGCAATGCTGATGTTGTTAACATTAACAATTTGAGAATAAAGTATAACAATAATAATAATTTGAACGGTTTGATGTGATATGAGCTAAACGATCTTTAGATTTCAGAACAAACAATCGACTAATGAACAACCATCACAAAACAAAAAAAATTGATCATCCAGGTAACCACACACAGTATTAAGAACCAAGGTTTTCAAACTTTTGAATGGGGCTATTTTAATAATTTCAGCAATTTTTTTTTTCTTGTGGATTAAATGTAAACATATTTTTTATGTAAAATATCTTACTCAGGACAGTACTAAATAAAAAATAACATGCATTTTTTATGATCTCTCTTATTTTCTTAAAATTATTCACATTTTGACAGATTCTGCAAGGGGTTCCCAAACTTTCGCATGCCACTGTATATATATACACTGCCGTTCAAAAGTTTGAGATCAGTAAGACTTGTAATGTTTTTTAAAAAAAGTATCTTATGCTCATCAAGGCTGCATTTATTTGATCAAAAATACAGAGAAAAAAAACTGTAATCTTGCAAAATGTTATTACAATATAAAATAATGGTTTCTATTTTAATATCCTTTAAAATATAATTTATTTCTGTGATGCAAAGCTGAATTTCCATCAGCCATTACTCCAGTATAAAGTGTCACATGATCCTTCAGAAATCATTCTAATATGCTGACTTATTATTAGAATTATCAATGTTGGCAACAGTTACGCTGCCAAATATTTTTTTTGGAAACTGCAATACTTTTTTCAGGATTCTTTGA